TCAGCAGGAGTTGGGAAAGACAACCCCGTGACTGATAAAATATAAACCAGAACAGACTCAAATTACTAACTGTATCTACAGTAAACTGAATGCCTTCATTTTAATATATGTTAGTCTCAGAAGACCAAAAGCTACACAGAAAATGACACTACCTACAGAAAGAGCCCATGCACAATATTAACGTTACATGGCAAGAGACATTTTGGTGTTCAAGTAGTCATTCAACCTCAATCATATGCAGATTACTATATGGTAGGTACAGCTCATTCCTAAGTCTCTGCTCGGACTTTTAAGTCAATCTTAATGTTCATCGTGAAACAAATTATACTTAAATGTTTAACAGAACCGTGCAGCAAAACACACACTTCTCCAGCCTCCCTACTTAGTACTGTCCTTGCCCAGTGGCACCACTGTGACTACAGACACAAATCATACAGTAGTCTGGCTACAGCCAGACATGAATTCAAGGGCGCACACAAGAAAACCATCAGATTATCTAAGTTTTCATCACATTTTAGTTCCTCCAAAGATAGAATCACTACTCTGAAAAGCATGCTTCTTTGACTACCTATATCAAATCAGCTGCTCCCTATTGGTTTTTTATCTGAAAGAGCAACAGTAATAGTGTCCTAGTATTAAATACACAACTTTAAGACCACTGCATCAGAATTTTTCTTTTTAGACCAATCCATCTTACAAAGCAGCCCAGAACATGCACACAGTTTTTGAGTATAATCAGTACCTGCCAATGAAATAATCTGGACATGACTTTCAGATTCAATACCAAGATCATTTGAGCACTGCACATTCAAACCAAAGAACTCATACCCTAAATGTTCCTTGAAAACGGAATGTTGATAGATTCAGTCTAAGGCACTAAGCCAGTTAGGTCTAGTCTGCTATGTCAGAAATGGTACATCAGGCCAATCAGCTACAAATTGCTAGCCATTACTGAAAAATAAAACTTTTTCCATTTTCATTCAAAGACGCATTGTTTTGCTGTCAAACTTTACCACAAAAATGCTGATTATGACAAGAATCTAGCTCTTACAGTTTAGTATTTGCCAGTATTTATCAAACATGAAGACTCAGAACAAAAGTGTTCATACAAAATCATAACAACATGCCTCAGGAACACTTAAGTTAGAAGACAGAATGATTTAAACTTAAATTGGATTTGATCAATTCTTGGGACAACTGAAGGATTATTTTACCTGTTACCACCACCACCACCTCCTCCGCCTCCACCTCCATGACTCTCCATCCCATAGGATTGGTTAAGGTAAGAGTCCATGGATCGTGGGCCACCATAGCCTCCATGCCCATAATCACGGTCCATGTCTAAAAAAAGAGCAGAAAAATGTTTATAAAGAAAGCAAGCAAGAAGTCTTATTAAGTAATCTAGTTTAAATTCTTAAGTAAAAGGTTTACTCTTTGCCACTGTGCTTACAAACAAAATACAAAACTGCCAGCTGCAAATCAATTTTGACACTGTGCTTAGGGAAGCTGTGTGCCTTTGACATCATCTCAGTACCTCTTAACTGAAATCCAGTTCATATTTTTTCCCAGTAATGGATAACTTGGGATTATTATTCCATCAGCTAGAATTCAGACGCAAGTTAAATTAAGAGAATTAAATGGAGAAACCCGATGTAGAATATGTCAAAAGTTAGCGGAGAATTAAGACCACTTCCCTCCCTTTAATAACACACAGATCTTAGAGGCATCTGCTTTCTCTATCTAATGCCACACACACACTGTGTGTATTCACTCACACTGGGAGACCTTGGGTCAAGGTTACAAGCTGTCACGCTGCAGTGCGGACTCTGTATACAGGCTACTGTCACACAAAGGAATTTTCTCCAGTCTAGCACAAACAAAAATCCACCCAAATCAACACTGAGTTGCAGTTAACTGCACTAAGATGTTGGTATTTCATAGCTGAACTGATGTCACTTCATGACATCTTTATATTCAAGTCTGGCAAAAGAACCAACTTCTTCCTCAACACTGGAAGTCCTATGTAAAAGTTATGGTTAAATAACCATCCATAAATTCAAAAGCACTAAAGCAGTGTTGCAGATCTGCATAACAAGTATGATCCACTGCCTTCCTGTAGCACACACAATTCACACTTCACTAGCATTCCAGTGACTAAAACTGCTTCCTGGTACCAACCAACACTAACTTTTGGATAATACAAAGAAAGCCTGGCAAATCAAGCCTCACAGAAAAGGTAACATAGAGAAGAAAAACACAGTGAACACAGGAAGGATAAAAATATAACCACACAAAGACTTGTCCACTCTGACAAGAGAGAGTATTTTATACATTTCAAAATCTCCAAGTGTAAACCATTGACTTTTCCAGAAGATAACAGGACAACAAGCTCACCTAATATCATAAGAAATTTTCCTGTTTAAAGAAACATAGTAAATCTCTGTGTGTATCATTTCATGAAAATAAGTATATATACTATTTCCTGCTTGTACCTGCTTCTTGTTAGCACCAGGCAGCCATTGTGATTTACTTTCTTACATCTGTCAGTACGAAGAATTCTGCAAATGTTATTGAACTGACTGTATCACTTTTACACAAATGTTCTTAGCATGCCTGAATAGAGACTCCAACAAATTAAGATCTCCTGCTCATTTTTTTGGTTTTTTTTTGTTTGTTTGTTTTTTTACTGATCATAGGCACTTTCTAAAAAGTTTAAGAGGATACTTCTGAAACAAAAAAACTTTGAACATGGAAGCCACACTGCACCTTTCCATATTCCAAACACACAATAAAGACCCTGCAGCAAAGAAGAAAAAAGCTTTTCAAAGCTTTAATCATGTAGCACCACATGGCATCAACTTCAACTGCAAAAAGTTACTCTAAAGAAATGGCTGAGCCTTCTAATAGAAGCATCTAATATTCCTCTCTCATGTGACTGAATGATCTACCTAATCCAGTGAAATACCCTCAGGACTGCCTACATGAAGATGCAGGCCAGTAGAAAGAGTAAGGTAATCAATAAAATAATTTCAGTTTCAGAAATTAAGGTTAGATGAGCCTATGATTGATCTCAGATCCAAGCTGGTTTGTTTGTTTTTAAAAAAATTTTTTTTTTTTTTTAAATACAGCATATCTAATGAAAAGACAATGACATTCTGGAAACTGAAATATATCTGACCTAAAAGCACCCAATAATTTACCTTAGTTTTACCTGCTCCCTATTATCTACAGGCCCTCAGATGACACAATAGTAATTAGGTTAAGAGTTGAAGAGGTGAATCAAATCATTCAACAAGGAAGAACACATCATACTGTCAAGATACTGCAATCCACTTCTATTACAGCAGAGTAAGTAGTGACCAGTGGTGTCCATATACCAGAAGTTCGCTAGTGCAAAAAAACACATTCACACACAAAAGAACTCTTCCAAAAAATGGTCTGAAGCATAGTTTTGAAATAAATTTTTTGTCTAACATTTTTAGTATGCAAGTAAATACTAAAATACATTTTACAATCACAAGATAACTTCTGACATCTACTTCTGCCCAATACTCTTCTTACTCATCCAAGGTTCATGTTATTTAACATTAGCAGTCTTGCTGTAGAGCTATGCCAGTCCCTAAATCCCCGCCTTAAGGGCATCACCACTTCTTCCCTAACAGTGAACAACTTACTCATCCTTTCCAGACTCACTGCACTGCATTTACCTACATTACAGTACACTCATATTTGAAAAGGTTTAGCAGGGGATACAAAAGGTACAAAGAAGTTAAGACGAATGATCACTTGCATGATTTTTCTACTACAAGAAACTGGAGGTAGCAAATGGAACTTAAAAATAACAAGCTAAAAAATTAACTTGATCCTTTTTAACAAAACAGAAGTTAAGTCCTAGAACTGCTCTGTGACAAGAAGTTACTAAAAATGTACACAGATTTAAGAAAGAAATTGGATAAATCCACTGACAAGAAATTCAAAGGATGTCGAACAAAAAGACTATGTCTCTGGTTCAGACCCCAAGGTGCAAACCAGTGAAGGCATATAAATATACTGAAGGAGTACTTGTACTATTGCTTCCACATCTCCAAAAGGACAGCGACATACAGGATATTGGTGAGGTGGGACAGACAGATCTTTGACCCAGCGTCATGAAGGTGATTTTATGAGCTCCTTCTGACTATTTTATTAACTGTTCCAGATTGCTGAGCAGTTAACCTATCATTCCAGCCACTGGCCTCCTCGTTTAGTCATTTTCTCAGCTGCAAACTTTACCAAAGATTTATAGATTTTACATTTCATGCCCAGAGCTTGACAAAGACACTGCATTCAAACTGAGAAGTGCAGTATTTCTTCACACATTAAGCTTTTCTTTACTCTGTTCTCCAGACAGGTTTTATCCTAAAAAGGGGGAAAACGTACAAGAAGCCAGTAAATATTCACTCAGGTGAAGCAAAATGAAAGTATTTCAATTTTTGAATGCAGTAGCTGAATAATAATCACTTGCACAGCTTTAAATATTACAATCTCAAGGTAAATACCTTATTAGTTGACAAACTTCACAACCACAGACAAAGTCCCTTAGTTGACAAACCTCACAACCACAAAGTCCCTGTGCAGTAGCCTCTTTCACACTTTTAATTCTTCTACTAACTAAAGCAAGACAGATGGACATGGAGCATTAAAAAAAAAAAAAAGCTATATCTGCACAAACAATTTCCTCTCTCTGTAGCCTGCTCCCTGTTCACTGTTATGTTAGGTCTGTCTGTCACCCCCAGTGGGGATACATAGAAGTTGCCTGTCTGTGCAAACTATTCAGGCTAAACATGAAATTGTTGCACATGCTAAGAGAACATGTGCTTAAGCACTAGAGAAAAACCACTAGGAATTGTATTGCAGTGTCTCAAACTGAAAATTCAAAAGTGTAGTACTTCATTTAAGTTTAAACAGTAACTGTATATCAAAGAAACCTTTGAAGAAATATTGTATCTGTGTATCTATGAATACTAGAGTGAAAAAAAAGAGAAGAAAAAAAAGAAATGGTCCACATTTGCTCCTGAAGTTTAAAAATGAAAGAGTAAATCTCTGAACTGATGAAGGCACTGACAAAGCATCCAAAACAGAGTTTAAGAAATAAATCAGGTTTTTGTATCTGCAGCGTCTTACCTAAATACAGTGTGGATGAATGAGCTGTTGAACTACAGTACAGAAATAGAATTGCAAAGAACGATCTCACTTTTCATTTCTAGATCATACTTAGTCTACTGGAGTAGGGAAGAGAAGAGAAGAGTTATATCAGAGGGGGGAAAAAAATGTATTACCGCTAAAATAAAAAAGAATGGGACACTAAAAGACAAGTTCAATTTACAAATTAAAATGTTAATGTGTATAAATTCCTTCAGATTTTAAAAACCAGCCATATCTGGGGGACAGATCATTTAAAATAGCTGCAAAGTAAATCTCAATAGCCAGCAAAGAAAAATCAGAATTTCCTTAGGAAAAGAGCTAGGAAGTTAAGCATGTAATAGGTAAGACTCAGAATCCCTTGCTACAAAAGACTCCATTTAAAAGAAAAAGCTTAAGATCAGAGAACATTGAAATCATACTCAGAGCACAAAGAAACTAAATAATTTTCACTAGTGTTCTCAATGTGGAGCATATGAAAAGGCTAGAAAAATGAAAGGAAAAAGATATTGCAATAATAATAAATGGAAAAAAAAAACTTCAGTAAAGTAAAAATAACCTTTAAACAACAAAAAACCCAGAAGTGCCAGCTTGAAACAAGCTAAATTTCCCTATATTTTAAATTCATAATCCACAATGAGTACAACACCCTTAGGGATCCGTTGTGCAACAGTAAGCAACATTTTCTTCAGACACATTACATTTTTCATAACATCATGCCTGCTTTAAGATCACGACCTTGTCATTAGGTACAGAAGTTTTAACACCTCATTGAGTCCCATCCAAAATAAACCAATCCCAAATGAATTTCAGAAATAGAAGCAAAAGCCATTTCCCCTTCCAGATTAAAAAGATAATAGTTACAGTAATTAAAATATTAACATGAATAGTTAATAACATTTCTGTTAATAATATTAACAGAATTATTCTACAGGCCATGTCATCTCTGTCTCAAACCAAGTCATCAGCAAGGGACAATGGTGGAATTACAGCAGTCGTCAGCCATCCAATGAAAAGTGCTTCACACTGGCTAAAAGTTTCCAACAGGAAGAACATTGCCAAGAGCTCAAATGAAAACTGGGCAAAGATGAAAACTCTGAACATCCATCCTCTGTTGCCATCTACTGGAACCCTACAAAATAGCCTTTAGCGCACTGTACAGCATCAAGGTAAGACATAGCTTTACATATGACTTACTAATGTACACAGAACGCATAAACATTAATGTTAAATGTTTCAAGCTGCATACATCATAATTAAACTTGTTTAATAATTATGAATAACAGAAAGCTTAAATATCACAATGAAAACTATTATTACAGAGGTACATGAAAGGAACAATCTAATTGTACAACACACATTTGATGGGTTACTTCCCATAGGATGAGCCTGGATTCACTTTAATACTACTGTCATCAGATCTCAGAAAAGCAGGTCCTGGTTAATGGCTACAGTGAATATTCCAGTAAGATAGAAGACTGCCACTTAAGAACAGCCTTTTCTACTAGAAATCTAAAGGACATTTAATTAGAAATCAATACAGAAGATTAAAAAACAGGGTGATACCTTTATTTATTTTACTATGAAGAAAGCGAAATGCAAAATATTATCACTGGCAAAAAAGCTAAGACTTAAGGAATGTATCGTAAAAATGACCATATTGCAATCAAAGATGGGTTTGTAATCCAACATGTTATTTCCGTATAACGGCCAGCAAGAGTATCAAGCGATCCAACAGCAAACACTTACTTGATGACATCTGTAAATGAAGCTTGGGTACAGTTTATGGTAAAGTTTTTATATTAACATCCTTTTAGTACTTGCTTGCATGTTGGCAAGAGATGTCAAATCATTTCTTGAGTTATGTCTCAGTTCTTACAGTTCTTATAGTTCTTAGTCATTATCCAAACTCATAACCTTAATCATCTTACAAACACATGTGCATTCCTTTTTGTTGTATCTATGTGATATTTTTGATAGTATAAAAACAAGAGCTAGCTTTTGCTGTACCACATTCATTAATATGCTTTCTATATTCCTTCCCAAACTCTTAGTTAAGTTAAAGTCAACTCAAAAAAAAAAAAATCAAAACAAAAATGAAAATCAAGCAGTTCCAGGTTCTGTTTTTTCCAAGTCCATATAAAAAGGGGAAAACATCCTCTTTCTTTTTGACAGAAGTAGTAAGAATCAAATACAGTAGTCCATCAGAAAACAAAATACTGATTTATGCAAAAAGCATCATCATATGAAAAGGCTGTATTCCCCCCCATCCCCACTCCTTGATCTCACAATTTTGATTTGGAACGTGCAGGAGTTCATGTTGACATGCCCAAGATGAAAATCAAGTCTCACTCCCAGCCAGTTATAACTCCTCCAGAAAACAATATGTGCAGTCAAACCACGTTACGTACTTTTTAATAACCCGTTCGGTTTTTTTTGTTTTTGTCAACACTGACTGTTCAGCCCCAACGCTTTTTACAGGTTAGACGTATTTATAGCTCATACCTGAGACTGACCCACTGGGCATGTTCACACCACAATGCATGGGGGTATCTGGGAATCTCCAATCTCTGTCTTCAGCTGGAGAGGATGGGTCAGTGAGAATGACTTAGTGCTTAGCAAGAGCTGGAGGGGAGAGACAGGGGGCCGCAACAAGAGGCGGCTCTCTCTCCTGTCGGATCTCCAGTCTCCTGACACGACCCCCTCACGGAGCTC